CGCACACACACACACACACACACACACACACACACACACACACACACACACACACACACACAAGCAGAAATGCTATGATTTTACTTAAAAAGCAGCATCAAGTAAACAAGGACTTATAGCTAAAGGATTGAAGGGCCATGCCAGAATTACACTAGAATGTCCAACAACAGCACAGTTTATGCTAATGAGACGAGGTTTCGTTCCGCCATCTTGGTAGGTGCTACTTGGTGATCTTAGTTATGGATTTCTGAAGTCCAGTTCCAGTGGGACCGACATTCAATGCTTTGTAGACAAATATGCAAACCATGTATATCTTCATCTATCACACATGTGCCAAACTCATGGCCTGCATGCAAAAATCTGTCTTGTGGGTGACTTGCTCCTCCTGGTCCATCAACCAGGAGGTTTCATGTTTAGTCAAAGTTAAATACGAAACAACAAGGTTAATTACAAATGACCTGTGAGGACCACAACGATGCTTAAGTGGCCCTCGGTGAAAATGAGTTTGACACACCAGAACATAAATAACAGGATCATCTAAAAAAATAAAATAAAATCAACAAAAGTCTTGTTCTGTATTGCTTCTAGGGCGACATGCAGCTGACATTTTTTTCTTAAAGACTGATTTGTAAAAAGATTGTTTCTAAGCAGATGTGTCAGAAAACACCTTCATGGCGTCTTTGCTCATTTTGACGATGATTACCATAGTTTGTAGAAACATTTTCTAGCTGTGAACTAACTCTTCTGACAATTAATTTAGAAAAAAAAAGTAGTTAACTCTTGGATTTTAAAAAGTGAGCTGATTTAGACTTATATTGTTTTCTTCTCTCTTTGTTGTAAACTACAGTAAAAAAAAAGACAATATGAAATTGGTTTAGCCTTTCTTTGTGATTAGTAAAATCCTAATTTTGATTAATGAATTTCAGGTTGTTTTGCTTTTCTTTGTGACTCTACAGTTAAGTTTGACATGACATGAATAGTTTAAGAGCAAACCAGAAGAAATTAAAGTTGCCACAAATGTGTAAAATATGCAGCAGAAAAATGCAGTTTGACATGATTGCTCTTTTTAGAATCAGCAGTAACTTCAGTCACATGAATGGATCAGCCTGTGAGACCTGGGTGTTGTGTTTGGGGTTAAAGATCAGTGAGGTTTTTGCCTTGTTGTAACTCAGCAGATCAGATTCTGCAGAGTCTGAAGTTCAATACTTCTGTGATTTTTTTCCCCCAACCTTTCTCTTCTTTCTTTACATAAATCAAAACACACTCAGGAAGCAGCGCATATAAAATTAAATGCATATTTACAGCTTTTTGTAAACATAAGATTTAAACTCCCTCGTATCCAGCAGCATCTGTCCACTAATAACGTAAACTCAAAATGTAGGCTAGTGTCACGTTATTTACTGCTGCAATGTAAACTTTACACAGAATCAGACAAAAGCTATATTACAACAAGCTTGTTAGCATGAGAACAGGCAGCATTGTTTGTGACGACCCCCACACTTTACGGTCAGCAGTACTTACTATCGTCTCCCGGACGCGGTTGTGGAAAAGTTGCTCTCTGACCGACACGTCGTCTGTTTCCATTATCCAAAACCATTACCAGTAACATCAGCCTTAAAGCGCTGAGAGATTAGGGAGTACGTTTGATTAAAAATTTAGAACGGGGAGCATCTTCTGAGAACTGCCGCGGATGTTTCCGCCAGCTCGGAGCGTCTGACCTGAGTTTTTTAAACAGCTAACCAAAGCCAGCACGCGAATAGGAAGGGGCGGGGTCACAAGAAGGAGTTACCGGGGGCGGGACTTCATTGAAGGGTGGAGCCCCGAAAGTGCTCTAGATAGCTGTCAGTCAAACAGGGCGTTCTCAGATGACAGATAAACCAATAACATACAGCAGGTTGATATTATCTGACATACAGAAAAATTTGAAACTTATGTGTCATAATTTTCAGCCTCACCACATTAAGAAGGAAAGTATTGCTTGTTGCTTCATTTATTTTTTCTTTTTGTGTCGACACTGGTCATCATAACAAACAGCATCAATGTGGAAGATAGTGATAGGATTATGATGTTCTTCTAAATAGCAATAAATAATAGGCTTCCTTATTAGCCATCAGTCACGAAGTACATAGTT